TTTGCATTCTCAGTGCTTTAAAATCCCTCAGAACTGGTTCGACAATCTCTTATACTACAACATTTGTCTTAGGAGCCTTGAAAACTCCTAACATCAAAGGCCCATAGATATAGCAAGAATAGTCTCTAGGAATAGTCTCTAGGACTTTGTTATGGCCTTGGGCATTATCATAAATCAAGAGGAATTCTTTCTTTCCCTTGCCCTTAGTTTCAACATGTAGACCATTCAGACGAATTTCTTTGAAACTTAACAAATTTCTCTTTGATTTAGGAGAATATAATTCATCAGAAATTTCTAGATGTGTGCCATTAGGCATCATTAAGTGAGCCAGGCCTTAGCCTTCAATAAGGCTGGACGTGCCTGCTATAGTATTGATATTGGCACCTTTTAATGTGAGGTTAACAAAATATCTTTTGTCTTTTAATATAGTGTGGCTTGATCCACTATCCACCACAAGCATGTTCTTGCCTTCTTTTATTTCTGAAAATAGACAAGAGTCATGGCTTTAGACATTACTTAGGTGTATGAATGTTCTGTGGCTTTGTTTTAATGTTCTTAATAAGTTTAATTTTTATATAACGCATATATAAAATCAAATTATTTCATAGATAGAACTTCCAAATTAATATCATAGGAAAATAAAAACATAAAGCCAAAAACAAAATGCAAAGACAAAAGCAACATGATGTCGAAATCCAATCAGCCACTTTTAAGGCAATCTAAACTCATATTCAGCCTGATCACCCTCATGGTCGAGATCATTCTCTTTAACATAATGGACCAAATGGGCCACATGGTTCTTTCCCTTTATGCTCTCCTGGTAGATTTTAACAAGGTGCGGGGGAGTTTTGCATCGGTTTGCCCAATGATTGGTCATCCCACACTGATGGCAAGAAGATTTGGTCGAGCCATGGGTTTTAAAATCGGACTTATACCCACGGCTGGCTTGGCGGCCACGACCACGACTAGCTTGGCGGCCATGGCCATGGTTGCGACCAAGGTGTTCACGTGGTTAAAACCCATGGTCACGTGGTTGGAATCCACGGTTACGACCTTGCCATCTTCCACGACCTCCCATACAGCCATGGTTTGACTCTTCCTTTGGAGACTCATCTTTTGGCTCTATGGCCACATGTGCCTCAGGTAATGCCTTAGATCCAGGAGGCCTCATCTCACTATTCCTCATAAGTAGCTCATTGTTTTGCTCAGCTAGCAGCAAACAAGAGATTAAATTTGGCATAAGTGGGGAAACCCTTTTCTCGGTATTGTTGCTGAAGCAAAACATTGCTGGTGTGGAATGTAGAGAAAGTCTTCTCCAACATATCAGCATCAGTGATAGTCTCTCCACACAGTTTCAACTTTGAGACTATCTTGAATAAAGCCGAGTTATATTCTTCCACATACTTAAAGTCTTAAATCTTTAGGTTCCTCCAATCATATAGGGACTTTGGTAAGAGTACTGTCCTCTGGTGATCATATCTAGATTTCAGTTCTTCCCAAAGGTCCAGAGGATTCTCAATAGTGAGATATTGATCTTTGAGACTTTCAGCAAGGTGATGGCGTATGATTAAAATCGCCTTGTATCTATCCCTTTCTGATGACTCATTGCCATCAATGATACATTCACCAAGGTTTTTGGATTTCAGTGTGATCTTGGTGTCAAGTGCCCATTGAAGGTAATTGTCTCTGAAGAGATTGAGGGCATCATACTCAAGATTGTTGATTTTCGACACCTGAATCAAATGATCCACAAAGGAATAAGGATTCATGATAAGATGATCAATCCAGGTAGGGTATTGTATGTTTTAAAATATTCGTTTTTCAATCATCACAAAAATCGATTTTCAAGGATGGTTTTTAGATCAAGAAAATTTTGACAAACAATTATGAGATTAAATGTTTTCAAAACAGAATTTATTTTGTCTTATGATATATAAATTTAAACCAAGACTATAGTTTATAATTTTAAAATACTATATAGTCAAAGATATGCATTTATTAAAATTAAATATGCATTTATAAAATCACAAAAGATTTTAAAACTTTATAAGTTACAAAATAAAAATCAATGGTCAAAGATATGCATTATTAGATTTTAATATTTTGATTTTATTTTGGTTTGACAAAATTCCAAAGAATTTGGTTGATTGTTTTGGTTTTTTAGATTTGCTGGTTGGGAAAACCAAGCAAGAATATTTTAGGGGATTGATATATATAATAGCCATCAAGATACATATCTGATTTTAAGGATTATGATTGTAAGGATTATGATGGCCGGCTTATACATCCAGCAAGAACAGCTGGTGATGCGGATGATCAAAGGATTTGGTTATGAGTTTTGATCCTTTAGACAATCCGGATTTAAGGCCGGATGAAATAGGAGAAATGAAGATTCATATAGATCTTTAGATGGTTTTAAGTAGAATATCTTGAAATAATATAGATGATTCATATAGAAGATTCATATAGATCTTTAGATGATTTTAATAAGTTTTAGGATTCAAAACTTTTAGAATCAAGTTTCATATATAGATTTTAGATTCAAGATTCATATTAGAGATAATTTTAGATCTACAGATTTTATAAGTTTTAGGATTCATATAGATCCAAGATTTAGATATATGGTTTTCTTAGATTTTTAGATTTTGATTAGTTTACCTTTTTCACCACAAGGATTCTGAATGGACCACCGTGAGAGAGAGGAAGAGATCCATGGATTGAGGTGGTTGAGAGAGGTGGAGAGCTGGCCGGAAAACCGTGAGGAAAGAGGAGTGGCCGGCGGAACAAGGCTGAGCGCCGGAGGAGCTGGCCGGAATGATGATCGCCGGTGGAGAGAGATTGCTCAGGTGTAGAGAGCTCTCGTACTGATAACGTGTTGTAATATGAGTGAAATGGTTTGTGTGAAAGTTGTATCTTTCTCATTAGCTATCACCACATATATATAGTGTGGAATACAAGGGTGTACAACAAGGAGAAGATCTTATGCATTGAATGCACATTGACCACATTGATTACAAGATACAACATAAAGTCTTGGTCAAAGCTCTTAATGGCAAAGGTTAAATGGGTCTTCATGTGAGCTGATGTAGATGGCTGGATGTAAACCTTCATGGACTTCTATTTGTACTTGTATGGACTTGGCTATGGGTAATCCACTCCTTGGATTTATAACAATATGAAAACTATCATCCTTCATTTATAAAAGAAAACAAACAAACTCTGAAACTCACTCTTATCTTTTTAAGGATAATGAATGTGTTTCAAATTTTTTAATTTAAGTTTTGGCTTCGTCAACTCCAGACTCATGTGTTTGTTTTGCCATTGATGTTAATGAGTTTTTAGTGTTATTTTAGGGAAGATATATGATTAGAAAAAATAAGAAAACAATAATGAAATATTGTGAAATTGGTAACTGACGTGGTTAGGGTATGTAAACGTCTAGCGGTCTATTTGTTATTAATAATTCTTTTCAGCAACTAAAATAATTTCTGAAAATTAATAATTTGTAAAAAAATGTTAAGACACTTTTCACTCACAGAATTATCGATCAACTTCTATTTTATATAATAGAAAATATGGTTCCTTCGATTCGTTTCAAAATAGACTGTTCAGATTTAGTGAATATGATTATAAATCCGATGAACTGGCCAACTTTGTTTCAAAGATTGACACTTTCCAAAATTTACATGATAATTTTAAAAGCGTGATTCTGTTTCATATTCTCCAGAACGAGAATGGTCAAACAGACTAACTAACAAAAGAGGGTAAAAACAAAAGTTTTATTTTCTCACATATAGATTATATATGGTCAGATATTAGTACTATACGAAGAAACGACTTGTCTAACCAGTACTTAGACCAAAGAAATTGGTAGTCAACAAAATAAAAACTATATGATCTAAGTTTTTTTATTCAGCTGAACATTAAGTTGTCAATAGTATTTAGTTTTCAAAAATCTCTAAAATACGAACAACCTAATCATACATAACTCCAAAAGCATATAATGATTCATGATTAAAATAATATGTTTTAACTCAAAAAAAATATTTGTTTTCAATCTTTTTAAATTAAAATAATTTGGATATAAAGAATTTTCACATATAAAAAGTGTAGTTTTTAAAAATAGAAACAATTGTCGACAAAAAAAAATAATAGAAACAATCAAAGTTTATTATTCAAAATTAAATAATATATAGAGTGTTTCTCAAATTATTCCTAAATTTATTTTTGTAATATAATTTTTAATCTTATTCGTAGGCCAAAATAATTGATATTTTCTTGGATAGTTTTTTTAGTTTATTTTTACAAAATAGCTTTCAAAGAGAAAAATGACCAAAATAAACTTTTATTAAAAGATAAATATGCACTTATATCATTGGGTTAACTAATCTAGACTTAGACTTTAGAGTTAAGGGTGAGATTTTGAGTTTATGTTTTCAAATTTTTAAAAATAAAAAAGAAATATTATAAATTTTGAAATAAAAAAAGAACAATTTTGGTCATTTTATTTTTTGTGGACTATTTTGTGACAAAATCTTTAAAATACGATATTAGAGAGAATTATCCTAATAATAAAGTAATCGGTAAAAATTGAGTAATATAATTAATTTATTTTTTGAACATTATAAAATTGAAAATAGCATAGAGTTTTATATAAGTTTAATCTAAAATAGAATATGGGCTGAAAGTAAAGCGAAGTTAAAGAGGATCTAGCAATATCAGTCACTTGTATCATCTTTGTTTGGGGATTTTTCTCTTTGAACAAAAAATCCATAGCAACGTATAAATAGTCCAAAATTGGGTTAACCGGTACGAAAGAATTGGTTAAGTTCAAACCAACTTTTTAGTTTGTGAATCATGCTTTTCACGAGAAATCGCAATCAGTTGGGCGGATCCAACGGTCCCTACTGCTTACCCCGTTCTTTAGAAAATACCCGCCCGGTAATACCTGACCCGGAAGATTCTCTCTCTCTCCTTTCCTAAAGTAACAAACCTTCAAAAAAATTCTGCGAAATCTGTTAAAAAGAAAACAAAAAGAAATCGAAGGACAGATCAGCCTGAGAAGCTTCTTCATCCTCAATACTCCGATTCCACGGCCCAATCTCGCATCAATTCACCGCCAGCTGATCGATTTTTCTCGTTCCGATCAGTTAAAATTAGGGCTTTTTGATAATTTCCGATCCGATCCACGCTCCTTAAAAATTGGTGATGAAAGTCGAATGAAGAGATATGGATCTTATCGTAGAGACTTGCGTCGCGTAGTCTCTGAGACAATTGCTGATGGAAAGAGAAACGGTGCCAAGTTCGTCGGAGAAGCTGAGAAGAAGCGATTTAGAAGAAGATGTGAAGATTATCGAGTGGGAAGAGTTCGACCATGAGCTCACGCGGCTATGGAGTCTTTCCTCTGCTCTCAAGTTAGCCACAGAGAAGAAGCTTACCCTTCAGCCCAAACTCGAGTCCCTTATTCAGGTTTTTTTTCACTTATCCATGTGTGTTCATGTCTGGTCTTAATCAGTTTCAGAGTGTAAAGCATCAATCTTTATTACTGCCATTGTCTTAAGGAATGTGATTGAAGAACTCACTCAAAAATTATATGTGTTTTGTTTTGGGCATGTCTGGTTTTTATCAGTTTCAGTAGTGGGAGACATCAGTTTTTATTACCGGTGATGCCTTAACGAATGTGAATTAAGTTAGCAAGAAACTCATTCGAAGCAATTACATATGTTTTGAGGACAAGTAGTGTGGTTATTGTCCGTAAATGATTGGTCTTTTTGTTGTCTGGTCTTGATCACTTTCAGAGTGGAAAACATCGGTTTTTATTACTGGCGATGTCTTAACGAATGTGAACGAAGCTAGCTAGAAACTCAATAACATGTGTTTTTGTTTTGGGCGTGTGTTGTTTTGATCAGTTTCAGAGCGGAAAGCAAGTTTATTACTGACATTGTCTTAAGGAGTGTGAATGAAGCTAGCTAGAAACTCATTCAAAGCAATTAGATGTGTTTTGAGGACCAGTAGTTTGGTCATTGTCCGTAAAGGAGTGACCTTTTGTTGTTAACTGTTGAGTCCTGTTGTTCTTGATGCACTACTTAGTTAAAGTTTGAGACTTTCACCATAAGAAGTTATCTTGTTTTTATCACTTACTTTATCTACTCAGTTAGCTTTAATTGCTTAGCCCGCGAGTTAGCGGGCGGCCACATTTCGGGCAGGTTAGTGCTGATTCATTGAGACGCATTAATGAGCTTGAAGAGATGCGTCAGCGGCTAGAAGCAAGAAAGATGCTTGTGGACAAGACATCAGCTGCTTGTAAAGTCACTGAGCAGGATGTTAAAGTGAAAGAGGATAGTCTCAGTGCAGAGGTGAGATCTTTGCTAGTTGGTGGCACTACCCTTTCAATCGCTAAAAGCAAGTTGCAGGTATGAATGATCTCATTCAATGCCAAAACAAAAAAAGGTTTCTTAAGAAGGCAAATGCAATACTTGTAACATTTCTTTTTGGGCCCACAGTGTTTTTCTATTTCAAATTAGGTGTTCGACATATTCTTTTCATTCCTACTTTAGTCTCTTCATTCAACTGTGTCTTGATTTTGCTATGAGTTAGTGATTTGATGACAGTTGTCTCAGCAAGGCAAACTCATTCTATAAAATATATTTTATATTCTTCGTTCTATAACCAATTGGTGAATAATTGATACACTATTTTGTGTCCTTTTCTGTTGCAGGAGTCGAACTGCCAACTAGAAGGAGAGAGTGGTTATACTAATCTGAAGATTGTAACGAATAAGCTGAGAAAGAGGCAACAGTATATGGTATCCCAAGTTTCATTTATCTATCCCTTGAAGATTGTGGCTGGACCTTCTCAAGACCAAGAACTGGAGTCACTTCCAGGTGGCAGTAGATTAGGTCAGTTGTATAATTTGAGTCTAAAAGCTTATTAAGAATCAAGACGATAGACTTTATATCTTTCAGCATTAACTTTGACTTATATTGTCCAAAGTGTTTGTAAAAAAGTTCTTTGTTGCAGCATTTAACTTCTTGACTTGCTTGTATCTTATATATGGCTTTAGTAGGAACTAAGCCAGTGAGTCAAGGATCAGTGAGAATTCTTGGGTTGCCTTTTAGTATGGCCCCGTTTACGAAGATGAGTTTCTTCACTGACAAGAAAGAAGTTCAGAAGTCGGCAACTGCCCTAGGATATGTAGCTCATGTGTGTTCTCGCTACTGACTAAAACTTGCTTCATACTTCAATTTTTCTGTGTCGCCTTAACTCTCTTGGCTTTGGTTGGATAGAAAGTACTAACGGCTTCCTGCTTGGATTTTGCAGGCTGTGTCTCTCTTAGCTCCCTACTTGGGAGTGCCTATTCGTTATCCATTGCGCTTAGGTGGTTCCAAAACGTATATTCGAGACTATGCGCCTTACCTTGAGCCTTCGTCATCAGACATGTCTGCGATTTCCACTCTTTCAAACTCTAAGTTTGTAGAATTCCCTCTGTTTTTGGATGGGCAAGATACAACTAGAGCTGCCTACGCTGTCTTTTTATTGAATAAGGTTAGTTAAAGAAAGTCTTTCGGTTTTGTTCCTCTCCCTGGTGCTTGAAAAAGAAGAAAGCATATTTGCTTCTCCTCTCATCTAACTGTAGTACATATCTCAGAACATCGAGCAACTCCTGAACTTTGTTGGGGAAAACAGTCTAGGACCACGTCAGGTTCTAGCTAACCTGAAGGAGCTAATCCGAATCATTCAGTCACCAGATTATATACATTCTTGATGGATGGATGGATGGATGGATGGTGAAGATAACCAATACTGTTTTTTCTTCCTGTAGATGGATCCAACTACTTCTCACACAGCTTCAGTGTCTTTTTTTTTTTTCTTCTCAAAAGTGGCCAGTTTTTGGGGATAAAAGGTCAGGTTTTGTACTCATTGTAGAACTCTTAGACATGGAAATACTCTTTAGAATGAGACTTGTGTCTGTAAGTGTGATGCTTTTCCTGGTTTGGAGATAGTAAAAGAATGTCTAGTTCTTCTAAGTTCTAACAGATGTATTGTTTTTGCTTTTTGAAATATGTATTACCATCCAAGTTAATAAGGAGCCTCTTGTTTTTCTCATCTGAGATCTGTTGTAATGTGCATAATGTGATGTGATGATCCAGAAGCAACACAAGATCAAGGGTAAAAAGGGAACTTTCGAAAAGTAAAAAGACAATGAACCAATGGTAGATTGGCTTCGGTTAGGATTTAATGCTCAAACCTTTTCACTTTCATCAGTTTCTTAAGCTTTTGCTCTCTATAAATTGAGAAACCTCAAAGAATAACCTAAGAGCTTCTGAGAGTAGAGGCAAGAGTCCTAAGTTAAAATCTCAACAATGGTGACTTCCCTTACCACGACCTCCACTTCGTCTGTACCAAAGAAGTCTCCGTCTCCTGGATCATCAAGCCAAAAGAAGATTGTGATCAAGGTCAAGAGCCAACAGGTCTCTCTGTCTCTCTTTCTCTGTCTGCATGACTGCATATTTAAGCTTTTTGACTGCTATGAAATAATTTTGTTCCATGTTCTCTCCTCTAATTATAAACTTTTTTTTCGTATTTGCTATTGTTCTTGGAGTTTTTCACCTGCTCTCACCCTTCCATTTCTGCACCTATAAAGTTAACAATAGTTTAAGAAAATAGTTACAACATGTTCTTTAAAAATCTTTCAACCTTTATGAAAAATCTTGTTTGGCAAAAAACAATTATTAATTATTTTTAAATATGTATATGAAAAATGGGAAACGCACAGGACGGAGGAGAGGATCTGTACAAGTTTGGTGAGAATGTACCTCTGAAGAAACTAATGAATGCTTACTGCGTGAAGAAAAAATTAGATCTCAGTACTGTCAGATTCATCTTTAAGAAAAGAGGACTCAAACCACAAAATACTCCTGCTCAGGTTTTTTAACCTTCTGAATTTCACCCATGAATTACTGTCAGTTTACCCCCAAAAAAAGAAGCTGTTAATATTAACATTTTCACTTTTTTTTTACCACAGCTAAAGATGGAAGATAACGATATCATTGATGTAGTCACAGAACAAGACGGTGGCGGTCCTTACACCGCTTGATGTCGCCGGAGTTTCAAGTCTCTTGAACAAGAAATGGATATTTATTTTAGACTTTTAATTTCGACCTGTTCAGTTTCTAATTGTTGTTGTTGCATCTTTGGTCTAAACGTTTGTTGTCCAGTTAATTTTAAATCGTAATATTTACATCATCTCTATGTGATTACAAAATATATCATTAAAATATTACTAAAATCTGAAACTACTAAAAGTAGTTTCGCCAACTTAATTTAGACAAAAATATAAAGAACACTGAATGGTAATATATATATATGTATGTATTTTAGAGATCATAGATGAACAACAGAGATGACGAAGTTTTTGGTCTACGTATTCATCTTTTATGCTAGAGGCAAATATAACATCTTTTTTTATCATAGAGGAACATATAGATCAAAAGCTTCATCTCTAGACTCTAATTTATCATTTGTAATAAAGATGTTTTAAAATAAATATCTCTAGAACAGAGTGAGATAGAAATGCTCTTAGACTAAAAATCTTGTTGCAATATACATTTCAAAGATTATATTCCAACTAGGGGTTGGCGCACAGATCGAATATCCAAGTTTTCCATAGTATTTGTGATTTGTTTCGAATGTTACTAATATCTAATTTTGGTATTTGATTTGCTTCGAAAAATACAGATATCCGAAAAAACGGATATCCGGGAAATAAATAGAAATATTTACGGATATCTCATCCATTTTGATTAATACAATAATTTTTAAATTTTGATACAAATTTGCTTTGCAAAAATATTTTTTGCATGATATATAAAATAAAAATTAAAAGAACTAGTAAATTTACATATTTTGTAATTTTTTAAGTTTAAGTTACAATTATAATAACACAAAATTTAAGAAAAAAATATAATTTTCATAATTTTTTTCTCTCTTTTTATGTAATATTTTTATATAAGTAATAGTGTGAATATAATTGTTCAAAGTTATGTGCTAGAATAATAATTATACAATTATATACATTTAAAATTTTAAATATAATCAAGATATACATTTATTTATATATTTCCGGATCGGATCAGATATCCGCGTCCCAAAATTTTAATATTTGTAATTTGCTTGATTCGAACGTTTACGGATATCCAAAATTTTTGGATCAAATCGAAACGAGTAACTTGTCGAATCAAATTTAACGGATAAAATGCTCAACCATAATTTCAACCACAACTTACAAATTGACAAACATATGACAAATACTTTGAAATAAAATTTGAAATAAATATATTCAGTAAAAGATATTGTCAATTATTTTTAAAACTTAGCCAAGCAAATAAAAATAAGTTTTATGCCCAACATTTATGAGAAATAGAAGTTATTTATAAATAATGTATGTTTCCATTAAATGAAAATCTGATCAGCACTAATTCTAGGCTTTCAAAGAATGGAATGTAGTTCTAATTTAAAATTTGTACTTTTCTGTGGACCACTAACTCACCATGCCTCGGTTCAATATTTAAAGCATGTGTTTAGATAGTTATTATATTGTAGTTTAGATAGTTTTGATAAAAAAAAAGATAGTTTTGATAAAAAAAAAAGATAGTTATTATATTAAAATAAACCAGTATGGGTTGTTTTAGATTGTAGTACTCCAATTTGGTTATCATCATTGGTCGTAATATTAAACTAGTACTCCCTCCATTCGTTATTATTTGACGTTCCACATCTTTACACGTAAATTAATGAAGATGATGCAATTTCTATTTTACTTTTTTAATTAGTGTTTAATGCTAAAATTTACTTCATACAGTTATCATTTGTAAGGATAGAAATGTCATATTTCATTATTATTTGCTTGTGATTATGTAAATGTCAGATATATTGGTACAAAAAATCATAAAAGTCAAATAGGGAGGGAGTATTAAATTAGTTAAATAATTTTTTCTTTCTCGTGAGTTGTGGTTAGAATAGTTGAAAATGTAAACCTGAAAATAGTTGGATTTTTCCTGTAAGATAAAAGGACAAACACTTTCTTATTTCTAACGGTAAGAGAGAGAGTTTGTCTTCTTCGCTGCAAAAAGAAATTATGTAAAAATGGTGGTAACACATACAATGACGTCTATGTCCTTGTTCCTCATTTTGGTTTGTACTGTTATCCTCATCACTGTTAATGGTTTCTCAACAACTCTCGATGGTCCATTTACGCCAGTGACTGCTTCACTCGACCCGAATCTTAACCCGGTTGCATTCGACTTGCCTGAATCCGACCCGAGTTTCGTAGCACCAAACTCGAAATCTCTACCTGAACAGATCTCTGTCTCTCTATCGTACAACTCTGACTCTGTCTGGATTTCTTGGGTCACAACAGGTATAACTCTTCAACTTACTTTTTCATTTTATTTTATTTTTAAAATTCCCGTAAAGTTTGGATATTAAAGATTTTAAATGCTCAAACGTTGTTACGTTTACATTAATGTGGAATATTTAAAAACATGTTTTATAAATACTTTGAACATCCAATAAGGGGGTTTGAGGTTTCTTTTACATGAACTTTGGTCTTGTTATGCCAAGATCTGGATCTACTTAGGAAACTTGAATACTTAACTGTTGCGGTCTAGACATTCTCCGATTAGACTGACAAACTGGGTTTAAAATCTGTTGACTTTTGCTCGAATGTCAAAGATACTTGTCTGAAAAACTCAAACTTTATGTGATAAGTTTTGCCTGAAACATTTTTATTTATATTTAAAACATCAAATAAGCTTTGAGTTTCTTTTACATGAACTCTGATCTTGTTATATCAAGATCTGGAACTAGTACAGTACTTAGGAAACTTGAACAGTTACTGTTTCGGTCTAGAAATCTCCGGTTAGATTGGTAAACCGGGTTTGAAAAGCTGTTGACTTTTGCTACCAATATCAAGATATTTGTCTGTAAGATTATCCTTTATAACTTTAACAACCTTTTCTTACATTGACATACTTCATTAAGGTTGTTGTGAAGAAGATTATGGGCCTCTGGATCCTAGCTCAGTGCGAAGCATAGTCCAGTACCGTGAATTCAATGCCCGTACTAGAAACAAACATGCCACAGGCCATTCTATTGTTTATAACCGCCAGTACCATGCTCTCAAGAAGAACTATACTTCAGGGATCATCCACCATGTTCAGCTCACAGGTCTTAAACCATTCACATTGTATCAATACCGATGCGGAGATCCTTCTTTATCAGCAATGAGCAAAGAGTATTACTTTAGGACAATGCCTATGTCTACATCAGAGAGTTATCCGCATAGAATCATTGTGGCTGGAGATTTGGGTCTTACTTATAATACATCAGTGGCTTTGACTCATATTCTCTCTAACCATCCAGATCTTGTGGTTCTAATTGGTGGATTCAGCTATGCTGATAATTATCTTGCAAATAAGACAAAGCTAGATTGTAGTTCTTGTCAGTGTGACCAAAATAGAACCAGTTCTGATTGTGATTCTTGTTATAATGGTAAAGAAACTTATCAGCCTCGCTGGGATTATTGGGGAAGGTAAACCAAGATTTTTCTCTAGTGGTTGTGAATCTTTTGGTGGTTTAATTATGGAGTTGTGATGACAGGTTCATGGAGCCACTCACAGCTAATGTTCCAACCATGATGGTAGCAGGAGAGCACGAGATTGAGCTGCAGATTGATGAGAATCTGACATTTGTTGCGTACAGTTCAAGATTTGCATTCCCTTCAGACGAAAGCGGTTCTTTTTCTCCATTATACTATTCTTTCAATGCAGGAGGAGCTCATTTCATTGTACTCAATGCATACACACCACATGATTACTCATGTAAAGTTTCTCCAGGTTTTTCATCTTTCTTTCTTTGGGTTTAGAATTGCTTTAAAATGTTTTTTTTTTTCCTTTGGCAGCTGATCAGTATATTTGGCTTGAAAGTGACTTGAGAAACATAAACAGATCAGAAACTCCATGGGTGGTTGCAACTTGGAGTCTTCCTTGGTACAGCACATTCAAAGGGCATTACAGAGAAGCTGAATCCATGAGGATAAACCTTGAAGACTTGCTCTATAGCTACCAAGTGGATATTGTCTTCAATAGTCAGGTAAGGTGCTGTTAGTGTTTCTTTGGTTCTATGGTGTATGTTCTTTTCACTGATTTTCACTCAAAACATGAATTAGGTTGATGCCTATGAGAGATCAAACAGAGTCTACAACTACACGTTAGACCAGTGTGGCCCGGTTTATATTACAATCGGTGCAGGAGGAGGTGGAAAACTGGAGTCTGAGCATGTAGATGACCCAGGGAACTGTCCAGATCATTCTCAGAGAAACTCTATTGGATCTTGCAGTTTTAACTTCACGGTAGGACCTGTGAACGACGAGTCTTGCCCACTTAACCAGTCAGATTACAGCGCGTACAGAGAGAGCAGCTTTGGAGTCGGTATGTTGGAAGTAAGTCTTCCCTCTAATCTCTATTGCTTGGTGTTCAAGTAACCAGCTGCCCTTACTTCCTTGGGGCACAATCATGCTTAAATCATGAAATATCTCCCTGGACCAACTAAGAACCGGTTCTAGAGTACCAATATAAACCAGATGGTTATAATAGTAAGTTGTTTAAACCGATTTATTTTTCTTACTTTTGGCCTTTTTTAGGTGAAGAATGAAACTCATGCACTGTGGAGCTGGATCCGGAATCAAAACGTGTACTATCTGGCCGGAGACGTCATATATATCGTACGTCAGCCTGACATCTGCTCGGTTTATAAGTAAACCAAGTAGTTAAACCGGTAGATGTTGTAACGGTTTACTTAGCCATCAACTTGGAACTTAGATAATTCGTTAGAATTACAAGGGATCTGTATATTTGTCAAAATTCATCACTGATACCTTTATGGATAAATTCTTCATCATACTATATACTACGGATAAATTCTTATACTATATTAGTCGCATAATTAATTTGCATTTATAACTTCAGAAGCACCCTTTTTATTATAAATAAAACCAAAATGCGATAAAACATCACTCTCAAACCATCTATAAGGACCCGCGAAGCTTCCCCTTATAGTTTGGATGATGGCTCAAGCCTTCCGCTAGCCAAGTGCTACCCTCGTTCAACGGATCTTATCCTGTAATTGGTTGAGTACATTTTTTCGTGTCCATAGGCTCTTACTTACTTGTAAATGGAGGTGGTGTGGTGTTATAGAAGGAGAGCGGCTGGTTCTACTTCCTCCACTTGAGATCTTGCTGCGCCTCACACTCCCTGCAAGGGTAGATGAGACTACAACGAGATTTGAGGTAATGTATCCTTCTTTGAAGGAAGTGGCTCTTTCACCAAAGAGGACAGCAGGAAGAAGACATGCAATGAAACATATGTTCACATTTGCCTTGATGTTAGCTGGAATAAGAATATTAAATTCTGTAGCGCATACCAACCCTAGTTCATTACAAGAAAACGTTGGTATAGAGACTACATATTACGAGTATATATATGTAGTCATAATTTACCATCGCATTTACGACTAATTTACGTCTACAAAGGTATTAGTCGTAAAATAGAGGTTAACTTGCTACCAATAACATTAGTCGTACATTAGTCGTACATTAGTCGTAACATAGCGACCAATGTACGATCACGTGTTCGTGTAGACGTACCATAGTCGTTCAATTACGACTAGTGTACGACCATTGGTGTTTGGGATTTCGGTTAAGGGTTTAATGGTACGTCGATGCTAATTGGTCGTAATCTACGACTAGATTACGACTAAATGATGGAAGAATATGCTATTATAGAGGAGGCAGAAAATGTAGAGGGGCCTAACTTGGATGCAAAAATATTTTACGAAATGCTAGCAGCGGTTAATGAGCCAATCTATGAAGACTGTATAGATGATCTTTCTAAATTATCATTGGCAGCTAGGCTGCTATCATGAATATCAAAACTAATCATAACTTACCTGAAGTTTGGATGGATGCATGGGCTGAGTTGTTTAAAGAGTATTTGCCTGAAGATAATTTGTGTGCTGAATCTTATTACGAGATTCACATAGTCTTGTCTTGCCTTCAGAGATGATAGATGTCTGTATAGAAAACTGTATGATCTTCTGGGGAGACGATGTCGAATTGTTAGTGTAAATTTTGCAAGAAGCTGTGATATAAACCGCAAGGACGTGGACGAAATAGGGTGTTGTACCAGCGGATGTGGTACTTATCCATTATGTGGTACTTATCCATTAAGGATAGACTGAAGAGATTATATCAATCTGAGAAGATGGCATGCAGAACATACCCAGAAGGAAGGCGAGATCAATCATCCCTCTGATACAAAAGCGTGGAAACACTTGGATTTGGTGTACCCTGATTTTGCAAGTAACCCCCGGAACGTTTATCTTGGACTCTGTACAGATGGCTTTAGTCCATTTGGAATGTCTGGAAGACAATACTCGCTTTGGCCAGTCTTTTTGACACCGTACAACCTTCCTCCAGAGATGTGTATGGCAAAGGAATTGCTTTTCATGAGTATATTGATACCTGGACCAAAGCATCCAAAGAGGTCACTGGATGTTTTTCTACAGCCTTTGATAAAAGAGTTGAAGGAATTATGGTCAACAGGCGTGCAAACATATGATTGTTCAACAAAAACAAACTTCACAATGCGAGCATTTCTTTGTGGACCATTAGTGACTTTCCTGCATACGGGATGTTGTCAGGTTGGACGACGCATGGGAGACTATCTTGTCCTTATTGTATGGGAAGCACATACGCATTTCAGCTGAAGAATGGTAGGAAAACTTCCTGGTTTGATTGTCATCGAAGATTTCTTCCCATTAACCATCCGTACCGAAGGAATAAGAAATTGTTTCGGTCAAAGAGGGTTGTAAGGGACACCGCTCCACCTTATTTAACTGGAGAAGAAATCGAGAAAGATATTGATTACTATGGAGGACTAGACACAGTCACCATGGGGGGTAATTGGCACACTCTTGCAAATATGCCCGACGGTTATGAGACACAACATAATTGGCACAAAAAGAGTATATTTTGGGAACTTCCATGTTGGAAAGATCTACTCCTGCGAAAAAATCTTGATGTGATGCATATAGAGAAGAATTTCTTTGACAACATCATCAATACTTTGTTAAACGTCCCTGGAAAGACAAAAGATAACAAGAACTCAAGGTTGAATTTGCCTGCATTATATTTTAGGGTTGAGCTGCATATTCAAAACGATGGGAAAATTCCGGTTCCCATTTTCAGATTGTCAGCACCAGCAAAAGCGGCGTTGTTCAAGTGGGTGGCATCTGACGTGAAGTTTTCAGATGTATATGTTTCAAATCTATCAAAATGTGTGGATCAGCAAGGACAAAAGTTTTCAGGGATGAAGAGTCATGACTGTCATGTGTTTATGCAACGACTTTTACCATTTGCATTTGCAGAGTTACTTCCAAAAGATGTTCACGAAGCACTTGCAGGTAACAAATAATATTAAAGTTATTAATTATTACTTTTTGGCCATGTACATTAGAAAGTTTCTTACGTTGGCTTGTATATAAATAATTATTCGTAGGCATTTGAGCTTTTTTCAGAGATCCTAGCGCACCCACCTTAACTGTAGATGTAATCAGACAACTTTGATGAGAATATCCCGATCTTGATGTGCAATTTGGAAAAAATATTTCCTCCGAATTTTTTTGACGTCATGGAACATCTTGTTATCCACCTTCAGTATGAGGCACTGCTTCGTGGACCTGTTCATAATGGATGAATGTATCCTTACGAGCGAGCCATGAAACATCTAAAAGGGAAAGCAAAAAATCTGGCAAGAGTGGAAGGTTCAATAGTTGCTGGAAGTTTGAATGCAGAAACATCTCATTTCACTTCGTACTACTTTGGATCACAAGCCCGGACACGGAAAAGAACAACGAGCAGGTATGATGATGGTGGTATTGTGCCGACATATGTTGTTGAAGACGTTCGAGACATATTCTGTCAGGTTGGACGTCTAGGTAGAAAATTGAAAGAAGTTTGGTGGTCGAGTTATGAAGATGCCCACAGTGCGCACACATATATACTCCTTAACTGCGAGGAGCTTGAGTATTTTGAAAAGTAAGTAGTATTCTTTATATGCCGTAGTGTTTTAATTACCACACATATACTACAATATTTAATATCATCAATTTATTTTAAAACAGTGATTTCGTTGCCCAAGTCGAAGATGCTATACCAGGGATATCAATCAATGATATCAACAAAAGGAAAGATCAACACTTTGTGAAGTGGTTAAAAACACAGGTAAATATATATATTTTAATGAAATTATATATATTTAATAATCTATATATATATTGATGATCGATATACTGCAGGCCGATTATGATGATCCATTTTATCCTCAGTGGTTACACGAATTGATACAAGGTCCGGTCGCGAAGGTCACCACAGCATCTATGTATTTCACACGTGGTTACACTTTTCACACTTACGAATATGGAAACCGGAGAACAACAATGAACTATGGAGTATGTGTGAAAGGCGAAACAAATTTTTACGGAATCGTACAAGAGATCATCGAAGTGGAGTTTCCCGGTATGAAGCTCAAATGCGTACTCTTCAAATGTGAATGGTTTGACCCCACTGTCAATAGAGGTGTTCGGTATAGTAAGTTTGGTGTTGTTGACGTAAATGCCACACGGAGATACAACAAATTTGAGCCATACATATTGGCTTCTCAAGCAGACTAAGTATGTTTTATACCTTACCCAAGGATCAAACAATCTGGAAGTTCCTGGTTAGCCGCTATAAAAGTTACACCTCGAGGCCGAGTATTGAACGATGAACAACCGGCTTTACAAGAAGATGTCATAAATGAAGTAGAAGTACGTGAGCAACGTATTGATGATATTTTACTTGTTGATCCGCATAATCCGATATATGAAGAACTTCCAGACGATGCAATTTTGGACGAAGCCAACGAAGATGAATTTGAAGAAAATGATGAGGTGGAAAATGTTTCTGAGGACGAGTGATTGTGTTTGATTATGTACTCTACCGTCAGTTGTATTTGATTCCGTTATGAAATACATTATGTTTGCATTATGAAATTATGATCCGCATAATATTCCGATATTTTAATTATGTTTGCATTATGAAATTATTTTGGAGTTTCGAGATTCGATGGTTAGTGTTTGGGGTTTGGGGGTTGGAGGTTTAAGGTTTGTGGTTTGGGGTTTAGGTTTCGAATTGTGTTAAACGGCTACGACTAATAGATCATTCGAATCTAAATAGTGGTAACATTACGACTAGGTTACAACTAATAGTTGTAACCTAGTCGTAATGTTTCGACCCTAATTGGTCGTAATATACAGTTGGACACACATTAGTCGTAATGTAGTCGTAATACGTAGTCGTAATGTAGTCGTATATGTATTGGTCGTAAGTAAGTCGTAATAGTACGACTATTTTATTACTATTGGTCGTAATGTGGTCGTACAATTACGACTAATGTACGACCAAGTCCAAAACTGTATATGTATAGGGACCTCGCAAAAGCAATTTAGTTGTTCATGCCCTTCTCTCTAACAACGACTCAACATCTCTCTAGGTGAGTTTTTTCTTTTCTTTTAGGTGGTCAGTTAGGTAATTAGATTAGGTTTGGAATTAGTTTAGGATTGAAATTATATATATTTGAATTGTTTAATTTAACCGGTCTATGTTTTTTATAAATTTCAGATATATATATTGCTATGTCTGGTAGAAAGAGAATCCGGAACCTCGCGGCTAGAAACTCCTACGGGAGTACTTTTTCGGTCAATCATCAAACGGCCCTAATGTTTCTACCTCGGCCAGCACATCATCCGGCGGCACCTCATCCGGCCATGACCCGGTTCCAGAGACCCAACCGGCCAGCACTCATGAGCAGTATGTCCCTCCGTATTATCCGTGCATTGAGGATGATGTAGATTTCTTTACTTATGTACCGGATCCTGAGTATGTCCCTCCGCCTCCCCCTCCGCCTCACGCACATGCCGAGAACCCGCATTCCGCACCTGATCCGGCTCCCGGTCTTCATCCAGGTTTGATGGTGCCGCCGAATGCACCATATGCAAGATATACGGTGGAAGATATTCTCCGGATGCTGGGATGAGAAGGTTTACGAATCAGCGATCCGGATCGATGCCCCGACACGTTTTGTTAATTATTCTAAATTATTTAATTAAATTTTAAAAATTTATTTAACAAAAATATATATTGATATAAATATATAAATTCTTTCAAATTTTGTAGGTTTTTGACGGAAAATGTTTTAGGATAGAGCGTTGGGGATATCATTCGGGCAAATTTTGGGCATGCCCACCCGAACTGACTCTTACACCGGACCACGTTCGCATTACGTGTTCAAGTGTTTCGCGGTTAGTTTCTCCATTTTTTTAAAAAAATTAATTCATCGATAGTATGTTAAAGTACTACAACTAATGTTTTTTAATTTTTCATAAATTTTTTGTAGCAAAAATGGAATTGGTCCATTGGTGTCAACGAGGAGATCAAAGCTGGGTTCTACAAAAAGACGATGCAGCGCCTCAAGAACATCGTTGGGGATTGGAAGGACGACTGGAGGCTAAAACGGGATGACGCAAAACCAACCTACCTCAGCAATGACGTTTGGGTTGGTTTGGTGGCTTTTTGGATGAAGCCTGAGACAAAGGCGAAGTCTACCAAATACTTTGCGGTTCGGATGACCAAGGACGCTCAAGGTAACCCGCCAGTTTCTCATACTTCCGGATAGACCCCACATGCTGGGAGAGCACTTGAAATTGTAAGTGTTTGAATATTCTTGATTTTATTATTATTTTTTAACGCAAAATTTTCATTAATTTTTTTTTTATATAGGCTGCCAAAGAAGGAGCGCCACCATCTCTCGCCTGGCTATACAAGATTACTCACCAGCGTTCTGATGGGACTTTTTTGCATCCTCAAGCATAGAAGATCTACAACGAGGTAGAGGCTCGGATCGAAGAGATCCAGACTCAGATGTCGCAACAAAATCCGGATGCTACACCGGTCCAGCTTTCCACCATCGACCAAGACAAAAATTTTGAGCAGGTATTAACATTTTTAATTTTTTATTAAATTTTCACATAATTTTTATTTAATTATATAAATATAATTAGTAAATAATATTTGATCTTTTGTAGGTTGCTCCGAAGAAAAGGGGACGTATTATTGGGATCGGGACTGTGAATGATGTCCCGAGGGTGAGGGCCGAACACGCACCGAGAATAGAAGAAGATTCCTCTCTCCGACGGGAATTAGCAGCTGCCAACAAAGTCATAGACGAGCATAAAGACAAGTTCAAGGCTATGGCGAATATGTTCGATCTTATGATGGAGAACTCGAACCCAAACCCGACGGTTGCTAATGCATGGCAATCTCTACGTCCGAGCTTTAACCCCGACCCCACTCTGGAAGAGCAAGTGGATTTAGAGCGACGTGCGGAGCAGCACAGTCCCGAGTTGTTCCAGGAAATGAAGCTCAACAACACACCTTTATAGTTTTTTTTAGTTTTTTTTATAATTTGTATGAATACTTTATATATTATTTAAATCAAATATAATTTTATATATATTATTTATATTTATTCATTTTTAATAAAAAAATTGAATTACAAACCAAAAATTAAAAAAAAAATCAAAATAAAAAAATCACATTAAAAAGAATTGTATTATATAAAAATAATATCAACATTGGTCGTAAATTATTTTTTAATTTACGACCAATGGACAAATACTGTCGACGTTACTTCGTTGTATTATTACGACTACTAAACTACTAATGCTTACGTCTTCTTTACGACTAATAGCATTACGATTATGTTACGACTAATTATGTCACCTCCACGTTACGACTAATACGTCAGTCGTAATATTACGACTCGATTACGACTACCGTCTGTGGTCATAATATTACGACTAGGTTACGACTAATTGTGTATTACAACTAGCGAATAACGATCTTGTTAATTGGTCGTAAAATACATATTACGATCAATTAACAACCAATAGTGTAGTCGTTAAACACATGTTTTATTGTAGTGGTTATACTATAAAATAAACCTAATATGGGCTGTTTAGATTGTGGTACTCAAATTTGGTTGTCACCATTAGTCGTAATATTAAACTATTTAAATTGACGAGATAACTAAACCAGATGACTGAAACAAAATTGATTAAACCGGATAAATAACACAACAATGCGTCCAAACATTTAGGGGTGGGCACAATTACTTGCTACTCGGCTTGTATTCGCTACTTGATTTGTACTTGGCTCCTAAAGTCGAGTACTCGTTTTATTCAAATCGAGTATCAAGTCGTTTATTCAATTATTTGCAAGTACAAGACAAGTACCAAGTATACTAAAATAAAAGTAACTACTTGGCGTTGTTAGCTTGTTACTCGTGATTTATTACTTAATTTACTACCCGTTTTTTACTTTTAGGCATAAAAATCTCTAAATTATAATCAAATTACTTTTTTATAAAATAAATGAATTAAAAGTGATATATTATAGAAATATTTTAGAGTTTTCTTTTAATTATAGAAAGTGATATATATGAAAAGTAAATAAATATTCTTTATTAAAAACTATTTAGATTATAATTATAACTAACTAATTTTTTTTTAAAAATTCATATACAAAGTTTAAGTAGCAAAAATTAATAAACTATTACTAAATAAAAATCATATACAAGGTTTAAGTAGCAAAAACTAATAAACTATCATTAAATAAATTAGCTCAGAAGCAACAAGTAGTAAAACGGAGCAAGTACTTGAAAGTATACCATATTTTAGCAAATACTTGAATGTACAAGTACTCGTTCTTAATAAACCAAGTACAAGTCCAAAATTTTATTACTCGAACAAGCCAAACCAAGTACCAAATACACCAAAAATGGCAAGTACTTGACTTGTGCCCACCCTTGGACACATTAGGGAATGACAATAGTAAACTTACATTGAAAACAACAAAAGAAAAGAGACAGTAGTAAACGCAGCGTAACTCAGTGTTACTTTTATTATTTCGTTTCAGACGAAGAGAAATCAACAGAAGATAGATTCTTTCACACAAGTTAAGATTGATCTTTTTCTCGTTAATATTACTGATCTATTATGATCAGTCAGT